TCAGGTTACTTTGCAGGCATGTACCACACACCATTTCGTCACTTTTGGCAAGACACACAAGACAAAGAGAGAGAGTGTGTGCCCACGGGCACTCTGATTGCAAGTTTTCAACGTCGCTTCTCCACCATCCTCGTGCCAAGACGCCGTCCTGTCCTCAAGTGTTTCCGAATATGTAGTTCGGCAGAGTCATCATTGTTAACAGCAGGGCTAGTATACCGAAATCTTCCTCATCTGGACGGCGGGCCTGTGTGACCCGACGCGAGCCTGCAACCTCCAAAACCCCACGACAATGAACCGCCTCCGCGCCGTCCGTTGCGTAACCACGGCCAGAGCCACAGGATGATGCCAATGGCTGTACCACCCGACGCCATATCGAGACATACAGCTGGCTTGCTCCTCCCATGGACCGACCGAGAACGGGACCGGCTACGGCTACGGCTACGGCTACGGCTACGGCGGGCTCATCACTCGGCAGCAGCGCAGGCAACCACAAGACCCGCCTCATGGGTATATAACAGGGCCGCCATATACCCTCCTTACATGGCCTGCGGTTTTGTTTTGTCTTTCATGCGAGCCCTTTCCTGATGCTCACCTCCCTCCCCATGTTTCTGCGCCGCCTCAACCCCTCTCGCTTCCCGCCTACGGCCCTGGACTCGCTCAACCCCTCATCCGTTCTATTGCCCCCGAGCCTGCCAGCCGGCGGCAAGAGGCTTGGAAGCCGCCCAAATCATTGGCGGTTGAGTCGGGAGCTATGAGCCGTCCCTGACCCTGGCATCGGGATCTTCTCTTAGTCTGCGAGCTGTGATTCGAAGAGCTAACCACCGCATCGCGATGAAAACGCCCGTCGCTCCTGTGAAGCTTACTATGGGACGGAGAGGTGTCGACAGACATCGAACAGGTTGCTATTTGATGGTTCCGCCGCAGCCAGCCATACCATCAGCCAGCCTGGCTGCATGCAGCCGGATCCTTTGATACTCGAAAGACCAGGACGCCGGGGTTGAGACTTGCTCACGTCGTACAGCTTGCCCCTTGAATCGCCTGCTGCGTGATTCCGGAGGTTTCTCGCGATATTTCCAAGCCTTGCCATCATATCGCGCATAAGGGTATTTGGATGGGTCTGACTGGGGCCTCGCTTATGGCCTGATCGACGCAACATGCGACACTAATGACAGCTGAGTGCAGCACCGCTGGCCTTTGCTATCTGGTCATCTGCATGCACGAGTCTCAAAACAGGTTGTGATGAGATTGTGTCGTTGGTCGCAAATACTGCAGCACTGACTAAGTTGCCCGCCCAGGTGCCTTCGTGGTCGTCGGATTTGAAGCTCTGCTTGGCCTCGGGCAACCTTAATCCTTCTTGTCAAACGTGACAGCAGGACCTGAGTGCTGGTTGTGAAGGGATGTGAGTCGACCACGTTTGCAACATGTGGGAGGACAGGCTTCGCGATGTCACCTTCGCAGGGTCATGGAAGACAGAGGCCATGTGCGACGCGCGCGGCGAGGTCTGTTGAGTTTGCGTTTCTCGTTCCCTGAGGATACGGCCGCCAGACGGAGCAGTGGATGGTGGAACTCAATGTGAGCATGACCATTGGCGATGGGTCGACGACGTTCATCACTCAACGCCGGTGGTAGATCGTGGGCCGCTATGCTCAATCCCAGCTTCAGGAGTGTGCCGATGGTCCAGCTGGGGAGTTTGACAGCTTGACAGATGGAGACGCTTTCAGCAAACCCACAGCATGGCACGCACCATGGTAGCAAATAAGTGTTGATCAGCGCCGTCTAGTGAAGCTTGCGGCGTCGGGGTTGCCCCGAAGTGCATTGAGTTGGGCAGAAGCACACAGCCCCCTGCTGTCAGCTATGGTCTCGACTCAGTGACGTGTGTTTCGAAGGTTTGCGAGTGGCCAGTATCCGCCGAGGAAGCAATGAGAGTGAAAGAGAAAATAAAAAATAAAAAAAAATGAGGCGATGCTGCGATGGAGCCGTGGAGCAAAGTGATGGGGGACACCACCTGGAGCATGCCTCTCCAACGTGGGACTCGAATTCGTACCAAAGCGGTCATGGCGGAGCGGGTCGAATTGACTTTGACAATAAGTGGGGGAATGGGGCCCGGCTCGAGCAACAGCAGGTGGGAAAATGGGAAAAAGACCAGGAAGTGTGCTCCGAAAGACGCAAGACGGGAGCGTAGGCTGATCCAAGCTCCCACCCTGTCCAGCACCTTTCCTCCTGAGTTGGAAACAGGTTTTGTCTGTTTCGTCAAAGTCAACCGATGCCGGCCTGAGAGTCTTGACCCGCAAGCAAGTTGGAGGTAGGCCTGAATAAGGTCCTCAGACGCCGTACGTGTGTGATGTGAGGTGTCCTGTGTCCTGTGTCCTGCTCCGGTCCGTGACTTCGGTGCCGAAAGTGCGCATCGGCCGCCGCCAACCTCCTCACCTGCGTTCGGTATGGGGCCAGCGTCCAAAACGGCGCCGTCTCCGGGGGTCAGCCACCATTTCAGCGTTGCATCGCCGAAACAGTATTCCGGGTACTGTGGCCTGACATAGACTGCCCTATGCACCTCTTCCAAGGGCGTCCCTAGGCCTGCATTTGATCGTCCCGGTGCTCCAGACCCGTCACCACCGCCGGAGACCTCAACTTAGCCTTTCCGTCACCTCCGGCCAAAATGTAGCCGACGGCGGGTTCCCCATCCCGACTCCCGACTCCAAGACGGGCTTCCCAGTTTGCCGTCCGATTCTTGAGGATTATCGTATGTTTCGACCGCACCCACCGAGTCAAGCGAGCGCTTGTCGACTTCAAAAGGTCCTCGTGCCCCGTCCTTGTCATCGTATTTTGTTTTTTCGACCCCGGCTGGGGTGTTCGGACCTGGAATATATCGATGTAATATGGTTCGTTCGTTGTCCGTGTCTATTTTGCCGCTCTGCCGTCCAACAACCCTGATCCTTGACGCTAAGGCCCTCCTGGCGGGGACGACCAGCTTCCCCTTTGATAGTGACACTTTTCTTCTCCATTTCCTGTCAGTTTCCTCTAGAGGCTCAAAACTGGGGTGCGTTGCCGACCTGGTCCTGGGCCGTCTCCGCCGCCTCGTCATCCCCCCGTCCTGGCGGCGCCGAATCCAACGCTCCGCAGCCGTCAAAACGGCAAAGTGGAGGAAGAGGACCTGGCGTCCGTCGTACGATGATTTCGAGTCAGTCGGATCACGTCCAGTCCTATGTTGTTGTGTAGGATGAGATTCCTGGTTGCAGCACGCAATTCGCATGCTGCATCTTGATGAAGCTGGATGGAACCGTGCCGGTGCCAACTCCACGTGTCGTTCCGTTCCCCGGCTCGGGAGATCCGAGTAACCGACGTCTTCGCACTCCCGAAGACGGTTCTGGCCCAAGCCGGCCCCTGGAAGTGCAGGGAGCGGCCGCCAGCAGTTCTCTCCTGCCATGAACACCCAGCCAAAGAACCGTTGCCCCAGTCTGGGTCCGCTCGTTCGATACCTTAATTAGACGAGACGAAGGTACGTTGAACGGGAGGTTGCATCTTGGACAAACCATTGGACTACCAGGAACCAGGGCGTTGGGTGACCGTGCCATTGTCCGACCCAGAATAGCTGTCATAATGAGGAACCAAGCACCTCACCGCCCCAACTGCCCGACACGTCGGCTCTCAAGGTCAACTGCCGATCGAGAGCGGCGAGACATTGCGATCGCTTGGACCCTCGGCCGGGGTTTTCCCGAGATCCATCCCACGATGGAGAAATGACAGGATACTAGCCCAACTTGGCTTCCCCAAGATCAAAGTTCAGGTCGATGGAGATTCTTCTGGTCGTCACGGTTTGGCCAGTGGGGTTCGACGAGTCGGCCAAGGCCGACAAATGAAGACGAGGACGAAGTATTTTGGCCGGTTACGATACCCGGTGGGAGTCCAGGGTACGATTAGCTGCGAATTGGTGTACTGGTCGTGGTTTAGCCTCGCCAGCGGATACGGAGTCAAAGTCGGAAGAGGCTCGACCGCCAACGCAGTTATTTGCTCGTGGGGATGGATGAAAACTCTTGCGGTGATGTTGACTTGGTGGAAGGTGCCCTTTTGAAGGATTGGAAAATACAGATCGATGGGAGCGGCAGTCATGTGTCAATGTCAAAGCACAGAGCACGGATGTGATGACCACCTCTTGCGGAAAGTGAGAATGGCATCGAGGGGCCAGCAGGGCCTTCTTTCCTTATTCCAGTGTCTTTCCGGATGCGGCATCCCCCACTCCTTCTCTCTTTCCTCGCTGTTTGTCCAATGATCTTATCTAGATTACTCCATGAGACGGTACCCAATGGAGAGGAAGGGCCAGTCTGAGACCATTCGCATGTAGCGCTCAAGTACATCTGCCCAGGTACACAGCTATGGAGTACCTTGTACACATACACAAGGTACATTGAACAGGTACGCACAGAATAGGTAGCCAGCAACTTTGAGGACTCCAAGGTCTCCAGTTGAGCTTTCACTCTTTCCCCAGATGCTCCTTGGAACCCGTCCCTGCGTCTGAGAGCCCTTGACTGCAATTGTAGTCCGTACTACGAGAGCCCTCGAGGCGTAATTTAGCCCCTATGCGGCAACTAACAGAATCGTCTGCGGTTCAATGTAGTCCAGTCTCACCTGCTATGGTGAGGATTGCTGCTGCGGCAGCACCTTCCGCCGTGGTTTTGGTTGTTTCCTTTCGCTGATACTGATGCATTGCGGCTGCTGACTACATCCCGAATCCCCTGAACTTCTTATCTCGCAAAGTACCTGATATTGATGGCTTCCTCTGGTTTCAAGTTTTCGTGCTGCGAATGATGGCAATCACGCGACATGACGTTCTCCAGCAATCGACCCCAATGCCATCGTCACTGCGCCGTGCTATGCTTAGGCTTGGATGATCAATAGCCTGCACCGCGTCTTCTCCCATCTCCTCTGACCCCAGCCAAGTGTCCAGACAGACCTATCGTACTACACGATACGCGAAGTGGACATTTCGGCACACATCGCTTGCCATGCGTGCAACTATCGTCCTTCCCAGGAACGAGTGGGATGGGGCCTTATCAGCACCCCCTTCCCAGGACGAAGTCCGACTACAGAGCATCGTCATTCTCGTCGTTTCAATTGTGTCGATTCTTGGCGCAGGATGGATCATGCTCAGTTTCTGGGTAAGTTACAAACTGAAATTAAGTCTCTTCAGCTGACAAGCTGCGAAGCTATTTCCAAATCTGCGCTCATTCCGCCACCGTCTTATTCTTGGCCTCGCCATGAGCGACCTCATCATGGCCGTCAACTTCCTCTGCTCCACTGCGATGAATATATCCGGTCGACTTATCGGTGCACCCGAGAATGCCACCTTCTGTAGCTACAACGGCTTCATGACGCAGTTCTTCGTTATACAAACCGACTATTGGGTTCTCACTATTGCCGTTTGCACATATTTCATCCTTGCTGGCCACAAGAGACAATCGACGTGGATTCAAAACCATGAATATCTTATCTGGTCACTCCCCTGGCTTTTCTCAACTATTTGGGCGCTCATCGGCCTCGTCAAAGACGCATACCGCGACATAGGCGCTTGTAAGTCACACCCCTGCGAAGTGTGGCTAGTTTGCAGACTCTAATCCACCTTTAGGGTGCTGGTTCGAATCCGATCGGACTCGTCTACTGGTCAACTTCGTCCCACGATGTAAGCGCCCGTTGGTTGTTCACATGGGCTTCAGCTGAAACACATACAGGGGTCATCATAGCCACTATGTTTGTCCTATATGCCTATCTCTACGTCGTTCTTTACAGAGCACATAATGAACTGAGCTCGGTGGTGGACGAGGTGTCCGGGCATACGACCCCTGTCAGAAGCGTTGATACCAGCTTTCAAGACGACAGCTTTGGTGGCGAGCGTCAGGCCCGTTCATCAGCCACGTTGCGAAGACTGAGAAAGGTTTGAGGTCAAAGGTTGCGTAGACGCCAAAGACTGACTGACTAACTCTGCACAGATTGCCCGCTTGATGCTGTTGTACCCTCTCGCATACGCCGTCATCTGGTCACTTCCAACGGCGATTAGAATATACAACTCAACAACGGAAGCTGCAGCACCATTCGCTCTGCAGACTATCGATAAAGCAAGCATCGTGGTTCAAGGCTTGGTCGACGCGGTTATCTACGGCCTGAATGAGACTTCGTGGTCGAGTTGGCGTGCCCGCTTGTCACGTCATGGGTACCCCACTCTGGCGACGATGAATGCAGACGATGCAAACGAACCACGAGCGAGAGAACGTGAACAGAGATCTTGTCGACCGGCATGCGGGAGAGGAAGAGAGATTACAGAATCGACGGGTTCAGGGCCTTCAACCCTCGTCGAGCCACAAGATGCGATTGAACTAAGAGATTTTACGACCGAGCCGCATCGAAAAGGTATCAGAGAATAAGTCAGGGTTGAAATTTATTGGGGCCTCGGAGAGAAGGGTGACACTTTTATCATGGCCCATACATGGGCCACAACCAAGCCTGGCCGGTTTGTTCTTGGAAGGCCCAGACCCAATTTCAGTTCAGTAGGTGTTGTTGCTGCACTTTGTTAGACGTAATTGAACTATTCGGCCCATTGATATACTATTCGACTGCCATAAGCTGGAGAGCAAACACAGAGATACTCGTGAATTCGTCCTTGATCTAGACGTGATATCAACGTTAAATTACTACGTCATGTGGCTCGAAAGCAAGCTTCCATCCTTACTACAAGACATGGTCTTCATGAATCATTGAACTTCCCCCTTCTTCTTGATACATCACACACAAATGACTTCTTTAAGCCTTGGTTCCTGAGGTCTCGGCGGCAGAGGTTGCAGGGTTGGCCTTGGACTTCTTGGCCAAGCGCAAACCGCCAATGGCCATAACCAGGGCCTCGATGCCGAGCACGACGACAAGGGTGACGAGAGCGCCGATGACACCGGCAACGGGGGTAGAGATGCGGTTGGCGTCCTTGTTGGAGGAGCCGGAGCCGGTGGAGTTTGCGCCGCCGTCCAGACCAAGCGCAGAGGCGCAGGTGCCCGTGGAGTTGCCGCAGGCGGTGCACCAGGCCTTGGTGTCCTTGACGGCGAACTTCTGCATCTCGGTGACGAAGGTGTTCCAGGGGAGGAGCGTCTCGGACTGTCCGAAGAGGGGGTACGCGGTCAGGTTGTTCTGGCCGGCGGGGCCGTTGGCGAAGCGGAAGCGCACCGAGACGTCGTCGGCGGCCGGGGCGGAGGCGGAGGCGTTGGTGACGAGCTCGAAGACCATGGAGGAGGCGTAGTCGACGACCTCGGTGAAGCTGGAGGACGCCTTCTGCAGCTGCGCAAGGCCGAAGAAGGAGGAGAAGGTGGCGTAGGCGCCGAACTGGATGTTGGCCTTTGTGGAAGAGGCCTTGGCGGCGTTGGCGAGGGTCGAGTTGAGGGCGACGAGGATCTGGCCGGCCAGGACCTTGCCGGCGATGGCGCGGATGGGGTCGCTCTCGTTGTAGGCCAGGTTCCACTCGTGGACGTCGGCGTAGGTCTTGAGCTGGGCGAGGGTGCTGTTCGTCAGCAGGCTCTCGGAGGAGATGGTGTCGTTGTGGATGGTGGCGACGTTGACGAGGTCGAAGATGGTGTAGGCGTTCTCGAAGGTGGCCGTCTTGGAGGAGAAGGTGCCGTTGATGACGGGCAGCAGGCCCTGGTAGAAGTCGGCGGAGGCGTCGCTGTAGTTCTTGTACTCGGGGGAGGAGAAGTAGTTGTTGGAGCTGACGACGGCGTTGCCGCAGCCACTGCCGCCCTGGAGCCACTCGCTGTTCTCGGCATCCTGGGAGGTGGCGGCGTTGCTGACGGCGTTGACGGGGACGTACTGGTAGCCGCCTAGGGGCGCCTCGACGCTGGTGCCGTTGGCGAGGGTGTTGGCCGTGCCGGCGGGAGGGTAGAAGCCCTGCAGCCAGGCGTAGGCGGAGGACTGGAGGACGACGTCGGTGGGGGAGGTGACGGCGAGCTGCTCGGGGCGGACCTCGTCGGTGCTCAGGGAGCGAATCTGCTGTGAGGCGTTGGAGCTGACGTAGCGGGAGCGATAGTAGAGGCCGGAGCTGTAGACCTCGTCGGCGCCGAGGTCAGTGAAGCGGACCGGGGGCCACTTTTTGGCGGTGCGGTCGCCGTGACGGTGGAAGATGTAGATTCCGAGGACCGTCTCGGCGGCGGCCGGGACAATGGGCAGGCCAAGGGCCAACAGGAGCTTGAGTTCCATCTCGGGTGTCTGTGTTTTGGTGTCAGTAAACCATGCGCTGTCCGTTGTCGCATTACCATTGAGAATCAGGAATGTCTGGCTTACGTTGTGAAGTTGATTAGGTTTAGGAATCTAAAGACTTGCGGTCGACACAATAGTACAACACGGTCCCAGCCGGTTCGTTATTCCCGTCTAGGAGAGGAAGACGAAGAATTCTCAAGGTGAGCAAGCGACCTTGGAGATGGAGAGAAAGCCTGGCACGTCCAGGAAAGCGCCCTCCAGCTGCCAGAGCCGGGCATCGCCGACTCTTTAACCATCGCCGACCGTCGGCTTCCGCACCTCATGACTGGCGGAATGCAGGAAAAGAGAGACGGCGAATCCCTCAGGGACCCCTCAGCCCACCACACACCTCTTCTTCCCGAATACCATCTCCATTGCTGCAGCAGCGTGTGTCTCTCCACCAAGGCTTGACCCGCTTCCTAGCTCCGGACCAGTCGATGGTTCGCGATAAAGGAGGGGTAAGAGAAAAGCACCAGCCACGGTGAGTACTTTCGTAGTAATTGCAACTTATCACCGGCCGCGCCCTATCAATTGCAGCCAAACAACCGCGGGAGGAATCTGCGTTCGGGGTCGGGATGAACGTCGGGATGGGCCTGAAGCAGGCAACTCGTGCGTCCAATTAGTCAAATGGCGAAGAGTGTCCCCACACCATCTGCAACCTATCGCCTGCAGGTCGAGGGATGTGGATGCCGGCTTGGCTCAAAGCTTGAGTTGCGCCGCACGCAGCCGGCCTATTCAAGAGCCGCTAATCAATTACCTTAGTTGACGAGGTGACAAAACGAAAAGTTCCCCTAGGCATGCAAAACGAGGGCGCCGCCGCTGCATCTCCGCTCCGCGGCTTTGGGCTGTCGGGCGGTTAAGACAATGCAAGGCGGGAGTGCCTCGTGCCGACAGCCGGAGATTGATAAGATTTCATTATCGGATTGAAACAGCGTGGCTGGAACATTCAATCTGTTTGATTTTCCATAATTCGCAATATCTAACATGTAGGGCGCATCAGCAACCGCCCACGCGACATCAACTTACAATCTGCGAACCCCAGTCTCTCTGTCCAATTCCGCGGAGTTGTTGGAGCAGTGTTTTGCAGACCCCACAACCAGAAACCCCCCCTGCCTCTCAAGCCACCGTCCATTTCACAATTTGGAAGTCGGCTTGCGCCCGCTCTTCACGTGCTTCGAGATCTCGCCCTTGAGCAGGAATTCCGGGTACTTCATGTCTTCATCGGTTCCGACTCCCAGCGCACTCTGCCGCCTCCACGCCCCACCGTCAACGGGAATCGCCTGGCCGTTGACGAAGCTGCCGGCATCACTGAACAGGTAGACGGTGGAGTCGGCGATATCGCGGATGTAGCCCCACCGGCCCTGGGGAACGACGGCATCGGCCCTCGATTGGTCGGCCTTGGCGCTGGAGAGACGTTCCATGCCCTCCGTGTCCTTGATCGGGCCCGGTGCGATGACATTGCTCGTGACACCATACGGGCCGTACTCCAAACACACGGAACCCATGAGGGCATCAACGGCAGCCTTGGCGGCCGAGACGTGTGCTTGCAGTGGCATGCCGGTGTAGTGAAAAGTCGCCGAGACGAAGATGATGCGGCCACCGGTCAGGCCGTCCTTGCTAGGCGTGGGGTTTCTCTTGGCCGACTCAACCAGGTACGGAAGAGTGGCTTTGAGGGTGTTGAAAGTTCCCAGCACGTCAATGTCCATGACAGCCTTGAAGGCGTTGGGGCTCATGGTGGACAAGGGCGCAATGAAGTTGCCGGCAGCGCCTGCACTACCGGGCCGTCAGTCTCGGAGCCGGATTGGGCCCATTGAAAAGCGGCACTTACATGACAAAGTCGATGCTGCCGAGCTCCTTGGCACATCTGTCGGCCGCGTCCTGCAGGTTCTGGGGCTGAACGGCGATATGTCAGTTTCCGATGTCTCTACGGGGGCGGCTGGTGCAGCGTTGCATACATTCCGGACGTCGCATCCACCGATGCCGATGACCTTGGCGCCTGGTCTCGCAGTGGCCAGATCCTTGGCCATGGACTCTGTCTTTTCGACATTTCTGCCAATGATACACGCATTCGCTCCGAGGCGGACAAGAGCGCGGGTTTGGGCGCTGCAAATGGTTCCAGCACCGCCGGTGACAAAGGCAACTCTGTCATCTGGAGACACACGTGAGTCTCACCGGTGTTCTTGAGCAACAACGGTACCACGGGTAAACGTACTGAATATTCCGTCCTTCCATACCGGACTCAGGTACTCGGACTCGGGAATAGGCATGATGGCAGAGTGTGTTTGTGGAGAACAACGTGTGAGGGTGACGATGCGGTCTATTCCCAGACAAACACGGCGCGGTGGATCTGCTTCCCACGGGATTGGTGAGGTAAGGCGGAATAAGCGTGAGAATACGACGACGACGATTCCGACTACAGGCCTCTGTGGATCCGATGGCTGCACAAATACCGGATGGTATGCCGATCTATGTGGCACAAGAAAAAAGAAACGAAAAAAAAGGTCCGGCAGGAGCAGCGGTTGCTTTTGGGTGTCGGACGGCAGGCAGAGTGCAGCTCAGATCGCGGACGGTAGTGACGCGACGAACCTCGGTAAGGTCGGCGAACGGAGCCTGCCGCACGGTGAGAGCAATAGTGATTAGTCGACGGGTGTGCTTATGTCAGCTTTCTGCCAACCGACGGGCCAAGGAACCCAGGTCGAAATAGCGGAACTGCACCTCACTCAGCCCGCGTGCCACGGCTGATTGGCGGGCATGCAATACAGCGCGGAACAGCGCTGGGTGAGCTTGCCTAGGCTCATCGCTGAGCTCCGGAACGTACCACAACTTCTTACCTAGGTCACCTTACCTAGGTACCCCCTCCTAGGTACCCCATACGGACGCTAATTTAGCGCCCATCATCCCCGGAGCTATCTCCTTATCCCCTAACGAACATCGAATCGAAGAAATAGAGTGCCTCACACTCCTTCAAAAGGAACTGAGGGCCTATGTGAGCAGCACCCTAAAAAAAAAACTCTGCTGGATCACTCGCTTTAGTATAAACAGCTTCCGCTTGCCTCGAATTCGCCAAAGTTCCCTATGCTGGAACACATCCTTTTCCCGTGAGGTTTGGACCGTACTTCCACTACCATCGTCCAGCAACTCAACTTATTATCAGCGTTAAACGACGCATGTTTCCAAACCCCTCACGCACACACAGAACCACATTAATACAGGATGTAGTCCATCTCTATAGAACAATAATACACCACCTAGAAGAATAAGCAGGGACTTTGATCACAATCAACATCCCAACCCCTAAGTCAGGATAAAGCCTTAGCTGGGCAGCCCAGATGCGCCAACAACAATACCCACCTCATTATTAAATCTATCAAATCAAAGCTTTCCAGACCCTTAACTGATATAGATATTTTCCAAAGGAGTAAATAGAACCCAAGAGCGCATTATGCCAATGCTACCAACGTGCATATTTTCTTCTGGGCGAGGAGAGAGGTAACACCCATAGCTCTTGGACAGATAAATGGTACCACGCCCATCAAACCTCAGGCAAGATTCATCATTTCTCAAGGAACTCCATGATACCCAAACGCCCATGATGTGGCAAAATCCTCTGGTCAACAACGGTTCAGTTATTACCCCTGGCGAGAATGTAGGACCACATCGAACAGGACCTTTCAAGATTCATCTCATAGGCATTATAGGACACGGATAACACCACATCAGACCTCGCTGTCGTAGGTCTACTTTGTCTCGCTCAAACATACAAATAAGCTGCTAAATATCATCTCAGAGTGTTGCGTCGTCAACCACTAGTATTGCTAGTTCGGTACTCAGGTTTCGCATCGAGAATGGGAGAACCCATCACTCATACAGGGAGGGCAGTAAGTGAGGCTAGATGTATGACATAAACGTGGGCTTACGTGCGTAGGATGCAGCTATCCCAATGACGAAAAAAGAGAACGAAAGGCTCGGTATGCTCTAATCCTGCTGTTCAAAAACCGAGCTTGTCTCACAGCTTCTCTAGATCTGCAACACAACCTGATGCTTCTCACCTTGCACGAGAAGTTGGGCCTCGCCACGCCTAACGACCAGGATTTCAGGGTCAAGCGTGTGCTCGATGTTGGAACTGGCACCGGACTCTGGGCGATCGACTTCGCTGACGAGCACCCCGACGCAGAAGTAGGTGAATCCTGCAAGCCATAAATACTCGAACGCTCACACGTGCCACAGGTTCTCGGGACAGATCTCTCTCCAGTTCAGACAACACAGTGAGTACAACATATTAGGAATTCAGCTGCTGCCGCTGCTGTAGCTTACGTTTGAAAGTGTTCCGCCCAACGTCAAATTCGAGATTGACGACGTGGAAGAACCCTGGACGTACAGTCAACCTTTCGATTATATCCATGTCCGCGGGATGACATCGAGCATTTCGGACTGGAAGAAGTTTTTTGGTCAATGTTTTGCGTAAGCGTCCCACCTCCAGGTAGCGTCGATTTGGCTAAACAGAGAGACCAGGAACCTCGAGCCCGGTGAGTATCTTGAGCTTCAAGAAGGTCACATGCGACCTGAGTGCGACGATGGAACTCTCACACGTGAGCATGCTATTTCAAAGTGGGTAGATTACTTGGAGCAAGCAAGCGCCAAATTCAACCGCCCTTTCGTAGACTGCCCTAGTCTGGTGAAAGTCGTTGAAGAAGCAGGCTTCGTTGACGTAAAGTTAACGAAATTCAAATGGCCTCTTAATCCATGGGCTAAAGACAATCATTACAAGCTCCTCGGCGAATGGACTGAGGAGAACTTCATGGAGGGTATCGAGGCTTGGACCCTTGCTCCATTGACCAGGGCTCTGGAATGGACGAGAGAGGAAGTCTTGGTCTTCCTGACACAGGTGCGGAAAGAACTGAGGGACAGAAGCATACATGCATACCTCCCCATGTGAGTTGGAACCTTCCGTCTTCATGTTTGACAGCAAAACTGACAGTGCCAGTTTCGTGATTCATGGAAGAAAGCCTCTCCAGGCAGGCGACGAAGGGGAGCAGTGACGAAGAGAGGCACGGAGGAAGACAAATTGTGAGGTTCAACATGAGAACGATAGCCAGAAAGGACTCAATCGCATGTTCTTAGATAGACTATTTTTGTTCTCCATCTAACAAGTCCTGGAGATCATTTCCTCGGCGATGAGTCGGGATTCCGGTGATTGATAACACAATTTATGTATGTTATGCAGCGCAACTTGTGCACGATTCGCAACCTCGGTGCAAGTTGAAGTGCGAGCAGAAAGCACGGATAATTTTAAGCTCAGCTTACCCCATATGACAGACCCACATAAGGTACCCACCCAAAGCAGCCAACCAAATCGAAGCAAAACAACCAAAACAGCCCCTCTCTTCTGTACCTATTCCCGCGCAAGCGGCAAGCGGCAAGGCGGGAACGTCGTCAGAGAGCGTCAGTCAATCAATCATTCCGACCCAACCCCATCCCCAAACCGAGACCTTTCACTCGTGCCGTGCCTTGCTTCCCCTCGACACCCAAGTGGTCAGGTCCCAAGCCAAGGTCAGATCAGGTTCAACAAAGGGTCGCACCAGAACCCCCTCCATCAGCGACCAACCGACGACTACCATCCAGCAACCGTCAGATTTCGATTTCTGCGGCGACACTTCGACTCTTGCATCCTCATCATCATCGCACTTGTCTCCAACCTCCCCTTATTCTTCCCCGAGCCTTCACCCCCCGCCACCATGACTTCTAAAGGAGTCTCGCTCCTGAAGTTCGTGGGAACTGTTTCCCTCGGTCTTCTGACTGTACGTCGCTGCCCCTGCTCTCTCTCTCTCTCCCCCGCTCGAACGCACCGACCCGGCCTGTCGTCGGATCACCAGTGACGCCACTATTCCCATCCCCTCCACCTCCCCGCACTCGCATCCTGAACCCCGGCACAATTTGACAATGCATGCCCTTGCTCATAGTCTTCCATTTACGACCCAAACATCGCATCGCATCGAAAAGCTGACTTTTTTATTCAACAGGGCCTCTCCTACTCCCTCTCGACTGTGACCGTCCCCTCGATCCTCTCCCTCCCCTCCGCATCCGACGCCCTCCGAGCCTTCCAGAACCTCTACCCCAGCGCGAACACCCGTTTGCGCATTCTCACCGGAGTGTCCACCGCCTCGTTTCTCTTCGCCTTCTTCCTCTCCCGCGCGCCTTCCGTCACCCCTACCTCGTCTACGCTTCCGTCCTCTGCCTCGCCTCCGGTGCCGCCGAGCAAATCACACCCTATGTCCTGAGCTCTCCCGAGTCCTCCTCGGAGGCCATCGCCGCTCGTCGCCAGGCCCGCCGTGAGCGTGAGGACGCCCGCAAGGCCGCTCGCATCGCGCGCCAGGAGGCCCGTATGGAGGCTAGCTACGAGGTCCTTGGCGACACCCACAGCGACGCCGCGAGCGACGGCGAAGCTGCCGCCGCTGCCGCTTTTGCCGAGGAGGAGGAGAACTTCAACGGCGAGGAGATCCGCGTCGTGGTTGATGGCTTCAGGAAGACCCAGATTGTGCAGACAGCCATCGCCTCGGTCGGTTTCCTGATGTCCGTCATCGGCATCTGGGGCGACGGCGCCATTCAGGTCTTCCAGACCGAGACCGTTATTGTCGGTGTATAAGAGGCGTTGATGGCCTAAGAGATATGATTATTGCAAGATTGTTTGCGTATAGGAGTCATGATATTGAGGGGGGCTGGGAACACGATGCTACATCACTACCACTGTCTACGAGGCACTGTCGAACTCGTTATATATTCTTCCTTACTTACCCCGACTAATCAGAGTCGGATAACTGGCAAAAATAGACCACCGAAGCTAAACCGAGTTTAAACTCGCCTTTACAATGCTCACCTAGGTCACATGACAAGTCGATGTCGATGCTGATGCACGGCATGATTGATTCATTCATTACGCTGTATTGGGATAAGTAAACCGTGGCTAGGCATGTGATACTAATCCTACTACGCTAGGCCAGAGTTTGCGATGCATTCACTGTCCAAAGGTGTCGAGACTTTCAAGCCTGATGACTTCCTAAGACTTGAGTCTCTCGCTTCCGGCCATGTCATCCTGCGCATCCTTAATCAAGAACCTGCAAGGTCGTTAACACAGTGCCCTGGATCAGGTCGATGAGGCCAAACTTACCTATACATCAGTATCGTTGGCGGGATGGTGCCCAGATGCCAAAGACTATGCGCGTCAAGAGCGCCAAGTAAAGGCGGAAAGTCGAACAACTCGAGACTCATGACAGTGACGATAATGGCGACGACGATACTCGGCCAGATAGCCCACACCCTGCGCGTTTGCCTGTACTTGTTGTAACTGAACCACAGCCACATCAGGTTCTGGATCACTCCGACGACAACGTTTGCCGCCATGTTGTAGGTATAATCCCAGCGCACACCCTTCAGGTACGCAACGTGCCCCGCATACAGCAAGACGCACAGCAGAGTCCACGCCCTCAGAACGGACCGTCTCCGCGGCGTCGGCCGGTCTAGACGCATGACGCGCACCACGGTGTAGTACAACCCATAGAGCACGTTGGCGCCCGCGGCAAAATAGTCAAGCTGCTCCGTCGCGGCAAAGTCGCGCGTGTGGAAAATGGCGCTGAAGGTCCACGAAGCCACTCCGACGGCCGCGAGCCAGGTGTACCAGGGCATCAGCGGGTACGAGGCCGGGACGGCAGCGCGGAACTTGCGCAGGCCGTCATAGTGAGCCCAGAGGTTTCCCAAGCTAAATATCGTGCTGAAAGGCTCCTGGCATCCGAGGAAGCGGTGGAAGGGCCACTTTCCGTGGAACTGGACGACGCGCTCGCCGGCGGCAGCGCGCTTCTTGGTTATGATGTGCTGGCAGGTGTAGTCGCATTCGGAGGAGCATGTCCAGAGGAGGAGACGACGGTGGAGGGCTGCAAGACGGGAAAGGTTGGTTAGCTTCATGCGTTTGGTGTTCCAAGGGGGTCAGCAAAGGGGGACGTAGGCGACGTACGGATCGGGGTAGCATCTTTGCCTGGAGCGCAGTTCTCATCGTGGCAGACCTGGATCGCGGGGAAACGAGGAAGAGAGTGTCAGCCTATGGAAGTCGTAGACCATGCTTTGGGGGTCATCTCGCGCGCGGGTGTGGTGGCACCAACTTGGACGCATTCGCGGAACTCTGGCATGCGGTCGCCGTATGAGGCCTCGACGGTTGTCGCGAAGACCAGGAGGGCGGCGAAGACGGCTATGAACAGAGGAGACCGTGATCGTCTCCCCGCTCGTGGGAACTTCATGGCGCGGGCATTTATCGATTCGTCGTCTCGTTGCTGGTGTTGTTGTCGTCCCTCGCAGTCAGTGTCGCGTGAGGCGGGTGCGGGAGGGTTAAAGTCAGAGACTGCTGAGGTGGTACGGGTTTCTTGGATTGCTACGGGACACAAGGGTTCGGAGGTCTCGGGCGCTTGCTGCCTTGCTTGTCACTGCTCGTATGGAGGACCGGTCATTTGCTGGCGGGGAATTTGCATGTGTGATTGGCTTGGTTTTCTGGGGCATTCCAAGACGTGGGGTTCAGCTTAATTATCCGATCTCTTTTCCGGGGGCTCCCAGACGTACCTTTTCATCATTTGTTTTTTTTTTTTTTTTACGTCTGGCGATGCATCGGGGATTGGGTGACTGCAGCTGATAGATCGCACCGCTTTTTGATTCCTGAATAGGTCCTTTTTCTGCGGATGGATGTAGAGGTCAACCCATCTGCCACTTCACCGTCCCAGCTGGGCTTGGGCCAGAAAGCTCTGGTCGTTGTGAAGTCCCTGCCATGATGCTTGGAATGCAGTCTAATATCGTCGAACCCCCCCACCGCCTTTGGGCCCAACTAATGTCGATGAGGGCGAGCAACAACTCGATAATCCAAGCAGAAGCGTGCTTCATGAGGGAGACACAGTTGGACTGCACAAACCGCAGAATGTCAAGGTTCGCAGACGGGCTGGTTCGACATGCTCAGATCTGTGTACCCAAGATTTAGACGAGGAGTGTCGTCTTAGTCAAAAAATCCGCAAATCTTCTCTTTTGAATCTCCTGTCTGAGACATTCTGAGAGAGATCTTTTCCCAACGTCATGCCCCTTGTAATAATCCCGTGAAGCTGTACAATAGAACGTCATGGCTTGCGGGTGGGACAGGAAGGGCAGTGGGCCGAAAAGAAAAACACACGATGGCAAATTTGTCTTCACAATGGCAAAGCGAAACTAGTATATCGTCGGTATGGAGAGGTTGAAAAGTCCTCTCGGGTATCATAACTATTAATTCCTATGGACAGCTCTAATGCGTTGGCTCATTCATGGCCGTCGCCGAGGCAAGCGCAGCATCAAGCAAACAATAATGACCGGAGCACTGCTTGCAGTCAACGAAGATTTTCTTTCCGTTATGTCCCAAACAACTGTTCGTCTATGCCCCCGTCTCTATTCCACTTCGGATTCTAACAGGGACTTGACTGTTGCCATTTGTTCATAATACTCTCGATCCAGGGGGCTGGTGGTTTGGGCGCTGAAATCCTCTTGGTAGCGCATTAGAACACCGTAAGCTCGGCGAAATGGATGCTTGTAAGCATCAAAATTGATGATCACCGGCGCGAAGAGCTCAGGAAAAGTAGCGTAGTCCAGGAATGGCGGGTTGCGGTGGCACATCTCCTGGATTTGGAAAGCCCTCACATGCTCCAGGTGGCGTATAACTTCCAGTTCAAGTTTGTTCGGTTTCGTGTCCATGTAGGAATCTCCCGAAACCCATTCTTTAGCGAATTCATCAGCCTTACGCCTTCGGATATAGCTGATGAACTCCTGTTCGAACTCAGGCGACCATTTGCCCTCGCCTATGAATGCATGGCGGCCATCCCTCGTGGAGAAACGTCGATCAAACATCTTCAGAACAGCCCTTTTGGGGATGTCCGGGGGTCCATTGGAAATGTAGACTTCCATGACGTTCCAAGTGTGCGATTGGAAGACTCGCTGGACGATCAACGTCATTGCCCGTGGGACTTGACGGCCGTCTTTCTCGAGCCTGTGGACATAGATGATGTTGCCGCGATAGTAAGGAGAACTCTGAATGTCAGCCGGGTGCGGTTGGTTGTAGATTTTTCTTGTTGCTTACTGGGAGTATGCTATCCGGATCCAGTCCACGACACTGTCGAAGGCACATCTAAGTCTATGAAGTATGCGCTGAATGGCTCCTAGGACGTGTTCGATTCCAGAGCGAAGAGACATGGCGATCTTGGGCCCGAAATAAGAACTCCAATTGTAATTTGTTGATGTTTATACGAAAGTTTATGTTCTGGGGTTTGAAGCACTGCTGATGGCGAATCGATGCACAAGAAGGTAGCGTAGTTGATGAAGTGGGATGGAAAAAAGATCGTTGCCCGGAAGCGTGGATGTACCTTCAAAGTGGGCCCCGCATGTTGAGCCTACCCGATTTGGCAATCAGCTAAAGCTCCAGTGGATACCTGCCTACAAGAACCTGTGGCGCTAGCAACAACCATGTACTGACTCCTTCCAACTGGTCGTCTCGGCGAGTACTGCTGTGAGTGGCTTCGGTGAATGCAAGGCTGCTACATTCGAGGAAACGAGTTGAAAGATGGCAGGAATGAGGGGGCGTTCTAGTAATGGTCGACCTTTCTTGTCACTTTCACTTACACAACCCTTGAAGGTAGCGAGAGTGCGTCTCAGTTGCACAGCTGTGGGAAGCATTCACACCCTCGATAAAGGTTGATATGCTTCCAATAAACCAAATTTCTGGCTAGATAAACGGATGGAAATAAGTTTCGATTTCGATTCTAGGTACTGATTCAGTGTTTTTTCAATCTCTAGCCCGACTCAACCCAGCCGCACAGATACCCGGCAAAGCACGCCATCCCTTCCGCTTAAGGTTTCATCACGCGAGACGGAAATTCTTCCGAGGGGTGCGAATTCGCAACTTCTGCTAGACGGATGTTCAACTCTGCTACAAAAAGAAGAAGCTCACAGACTCGGAGAGCTTCCAGATGAGACCCGTCCCAACTATCCCGCTCGTCGGAGGCTGGCACGAGGTCCAAGTAGGAGATATCAGATCGGTGGTTTGCCACGGACCGACCAAAAGTGTTTTTGGTCATGCATGTAGGGTCCTGCTAACTCGGTAGAGAAGAAACTCTCTCTCTGGTCAGTTCACTCCGGCACCTGAGGCAAGACGTCTGGGCGCCAGCTATTGAGTACATAGCAAATACAGCCACCTCTGATACGACGTAGATGTAAATTCAAGTATATTCATCCAGTAAATGTATCATGATAGCATTCTGGAGGGTTTCTAGAACAAAAACGACTACAAGGTTGCTATCGACATCTACCCAAGAAGAAACGTAAGAAACATAGCTTGCTCATGCATCCATCAAGTCTCCAGGACCCACTCATCCTTGGAGGCCCTGGAAAATTCTCTCCGGCATCGAGTCTTCTTCTGCAGCGGCTGAGTCGAAAGGCAGACTGGCATCGAGAACGGCCTACAGATCTCCACTGCTCTCAAGGACTTCAGCCATCAGCATCGCCAACGCAGCGCATTAAAGCAACCGTAATGTTAATTTCTCAGTCAACTTGAAAGCTGAAAAGTCGGGTTTGTTACTAGGCTAAGAAAACCCCAATTCCTCCCAACGCCATGCCCTCAGTCACATCATATATGCCCCAAATGTACCCCAAAAACCCGTAGTATACACAAAGAACCTTTTTCGTCATCACCCCAAGCCTTACCAGAAATACGGCGGCGGTATCGCCAGCATCCAAGTGTCAAGCCACCTCGACGCCGCGAATCCCGCAATGAACCCTCCCATCGCAATCGAAAACATGACGGCAGCCGTCAAGCTCGGGCTGACGTCGTGATCCAACCACGTCTTCCTGAACCTCAGCTTGCCCACCCTTATGTGGAACATCTCCTCCACGTCGACGATCCCGCGGTAGTTCGGCTTCAGCTCGGTCGAGTCGCGCTCCGTAAAGTGTTTTCTCTGCACCCTTCATCGTCGTGTCAAAGGATCAGCCCTCGCTTTTAGCCCCGTCTGGTCAGTTTCTTCAGCACTGGGGGTTTTGGAGAAACAGGGGAAAGGCAAAAAAGAAAACTTACAGCAACGTGAGGCAAATGTCACCTTGCAACCTCGCCTTCAGCTCGAGCTCGGCGTCGAGGTTTAGGCCGATTTGTAGCCGTGCGGGCTTGGACTCGGAGAGGCGCGGAATTACGGTGGGAGCAGGGAGGGTTCCCTTTGGCTGGGCAACTTGCTTGTTGCGGTTGCGGCGGCGGCGACGGCGCGTGCTGCCATCCGAGGAGACGCTTGAAGCGCCGCCGATGCTGGACGCAGAGTCGTCTACTACATTATGGGCCTGAGGAAAGTTTAGTTGGAAGGTTTTCTCTTGAGTTGATGGGTTCTACCCTCTCGGTGACGTTGCTACCTTTGTGCTCGTCTTTGTGTCTATTGAGATGTTGCAGGGAGCCATTTCTTCTTCTTCGGAGTCCTTCTTCTGGGCGTGGGAGGGGATATAGTATGGAATCATCGATCGTCTGAAGACAGAATTGGGTTGCAAGACTTGTTGGCGGTCTTGCCTTTGGTTTCGATTATATGTCTAGAGGGACTCTGATGCTGCAAGTCTTTTTCGGATATAATTTCAGGACAGAGTTGAAGAGCAAGCAATTTTCGAACAACAAGGGCATCTTCCCAGGGGTTGGGATGACAACTCTCCTATATACCCTCCCCAGATCCCCCGACTCGCCGCACCCGCAAAAACCGCCAACCACCACCACCCTGGCAACTTCTGAAATCTGTTTCCGAATTCCAGCACTCCGTGAAATGCGCACCTATCCAAATCATCCCAAAAAGTTTCCCAGACTCATCCCACTTACACGGACCCCTTGGAAGCCCCTTCGTTGCAGCGTCACGTGATGGGTCGATGGTGGAGTAAAACGGATGGAAACCTCGTACGATGCCGTTCAACGCTGAAACGGTAATGCAACCTCGACGTCGCTCGTCACCCAGCGTGTCAAACAAGGGTGGGCCAGACTACAATGTTCTGGCCTCCCACGGCCCGTCTTTGCCAATGCAGGTTCCTGCCGCCGGGTGCAAGGCTTTTGACCGGGGATTTCGCCATCCTTCAAAAGAGCCTCTCAGAACACCCCGGCAGTGGAAGATCAGGGTCCTCGTTACCGAACGTCGTCGTCGTCCAAGTAAAGAGGGTCAAACAATCGTCGACGGCCCCTCGTATGTTTAACTTGTCGAGCACGCGTCTAGCGGGAAGATCCCGCTGGGCTCACAAGAGACAGGCATATCTGGACACGGGTTATCGATTGACCATTCATATTATCGAATTCTCTTGATTTTCGCCTCGAGCTTTTCCACGCGACGATGAAAAACACACCAAAACTCCACATGTATGCGCCTCGCATGCTGAACCGCCACCTTTCGTCCCATCCCAACCCAACCCAAACGAACACCCCTGCCGCCAAGGTATCTTATTGGGAAATTTAATCATGTAGTACGAGAACCCACGAGGTGTGTGTCTCGATGGAGGCAGCCATATCGTAACCCACTGAGAGCCTTGCCGCCGTGCTTTGACGAGCAGGGTGAACCTTTCCGTCCTTCCGAAAGGCCTAGACTTGCCCCGGCTTTTCTACCGATGCCAAACCCGGCACCATCCAAACCTCCACCAGCTCATGCAACGCTTCAGATTCAGTCCTAAGGCCTGGGGAAATGGGGCGACGGATGTCCTAGTCCGCAGACTCGGAGACACCCACAATGACCCAAAACGTAAAGACTTTTGTGTCGATGATTGTTTTATTCCTCTTGACCCGTTTACTCTCTCAAGTGCTCAACAGGTCCCTCACTGACATGCCACGCCCAGCGCCGCGTGAATTATTGGTGCCGTCACCGCTCACGGTACCTCTCCTGTCGTTGTTCAGCATCAACAGGGCGGCCGTCGCCTCCTGGTCGAGATCCCGCTGCGGCGCGAGCGCAGGGCTGGTAAGCGTCGAGAGCGAGCCCGAGGCGATGCCGTGGGGGTAGGGATACTGCTGTGGACCAAAGGCCGGTGACGTCGTCGCCGACGATGCGCTGTAGCTGTAGTGGCGTTGGTCCGTCGACGCAGACGAGTACGAATCGTGACGGTGCCTCGGGTCCTGTGCGAGCAGCGCGGGGGACGGCGATACCGACGGCTGCTGGGACCGGGAGTGCTGGGCGGGGAAGGTGGGTGACGGGGCCTCGGAACCGGTCATTTCGACGTCGTCGGGTTCCTGTTGGTACTTCGGGACGAACTGCGGTAGGGAGCCCCACGGATCGCGGCCCGACGGGGTCTGCAGGCCGGACTCGGTGGGGGAGACCCCCTCGGACACGTCCCGCTGGGCCTTTAGCTTGGCGACGCAGTCTTCGAGGTATCTGACGTATTCGATAGAGGCCTGTGTTAAGCCTGGGTCAGCATCATGTTGTTGCCATGTTATGTCGAGTTGACTGCACTCACTTGCAGAATAGCCAGCTTGTGCATCTCTCCGGTGCATGCCGGGATCATACCCTTCAGCACAGCAAACTCCTCGTTCATTTTAGACCGGCGGCGACGTTCAATCAAGCTGTGCGCCGTCTTCCTCGCAATCTTCCGCCCTGCCGCGCTCGTCGCCGACGGCTGCTTCTTCTTAGACTGCTCCTTCGTGGACGCAGCGGCTTTCGCCGGGCCTGATGACTTGGTGCTGGCGGGAGCCTCCTCCGGCTCCTCCTGCGGCCGGGGCTTCATCTGAATAATCTTGCGGGACCTCGTGGGCGGAGGGGGAAGGGCAAAGTTCTCGTTCGCAACCTTCTGGGCGGCCGAAGACCTCCGCCGGGACTTGACTGCTTCAGCGGGCTGTACGGGGTACGGAGTGACCTTGGAGGGAGAGATGGGTTGGAAGCCGGAGTGGGGGGATGTCCTCGTGTCGGTAGGCGAGACTCTCGAGGCGTCTTGCGTCAAGGCTGCCGGGGGCAATTCGAAAGCCAGCTGTAGCGAGGCCAGGTCCTTGGAGCCATCTTGGCCCTTTATGTCTGTTGAGGATGCCGGCGTGGGCGGCAGCGTGGGACGTGGCATTGTGAGATGGTGGAATGTGACGACGGGGGAACGGGGCGCGAGCGGCCTTGAGAGATAGACCAGACTCCCCGAAAGGTATTAGTAGAGTACGGCGAGCCGAGTGAGGAAACTTGATGCCCAGGCTGGACGACAAATCGGTTGACGTCGGTTGTGAGGCTGTGCCCGCGGAAATCGATGCCGGATGGTGAGGGACTCAGGTCGCTGTCGGCTGGCGAGGCTTGGCGTTGATGAGAAGCGCCCGTCGGGGTTTCTGGCCAAGCAAGAGTCAAAGTCCGATTCGTTGTGTACGGTCACAGTACGGGGCCGTGATTGTAAAGGGGAAAGAGAGGCACGCGACGATGAGGAGTTGAGGGCATAGTTGAAGGGTTTGTGGAAGGAAAGTAGCAGAGGCGGGGGGGAGGATGGTTAAAGATACGGCACGGGAGATGGGATTGAGCACGAGTTGCGCACACACGCACATTAGCAAGTAACTGACTCTCATTCTCACTATCCTTGGCACGTCGTTCCTCACCTCTTTCTGCTCTATCTACAACCCCGGACTGTGGCTAAATCTGTTAAGACGCTTGCCTCAGATAGCGGCCAACCTCTTAGCAGGCGCGTAGCAGGCCACGCCCCCCATCTCTTACATGGGGAGGGGGGTGGTCCATGTTTCTGGACGATACCCTGATGAAGGTCCATGGGGATGGGGATAGGGATAGGACGGCAGTGGTTGGTGGTTTTGGGGGCAACGAACTAGGAAGAAGGAGAGAGGGCACGCGACTCCGAGCCAGAAGTGCAGAGAAAGGAACCCATAAACAATGGACGAAAAGAAAGTGAGGAACACAAGCACAGCCTGGCTGGTAGCAGCCCTGGAGAACCGCAAAGATGACGGGCAACATAAAACAGTCCAATCAGAGGTTCGGACGCAGGCTCCTGGGCGAAGAAAAGGGCAGGAGAGGCATCTTCGAGAGTCGAGGAGATTGACCAATCAGAGCGTCGGAATCGAGCACATGGGGTTCCTGAATGGTATCTGGGCGCCCGCAGACGGTTTGCTTCCTACTCAAGAGAAACGTCAATCAACACGGCCACACAGGCCACATGGATCATTGGCAGACCCCTTGCCCGCGCGCACGCCTTCGTTGGGTGGGCTTTTCAAGGTCCCAGTCCGGGGCTGGCCTCTCTAGTCTGATGCAGCGACCTGGGGTCCAGAGCCAAAGGCACGAGACATGTGCTCGAGATGCGGTTGGACGACGGCTTCGATCGTCGACGACCGTTGCTTGCTGAACCGTGTTCCATCTGTGGCTGGTAACAGTCGTGTGCGCATCTGCGTGCCTTCTTTTCCGGTCGTGTGTGGTGACAGAGCGACAGGACACGAGTGGTTTCTAACCCTTGATGGCGATTGAGCTGAATCGCATGCAGATGGCCATGGATGACGAACCCCCTCCCTTTGCGAGCTCAGGGCCCGCTTGCAAAGTGAGCACGTGGGCGGTTTGCTGCTGTAAATCTCCCCAACGTATCGTTATCTCGTGCGTGCGACGCATTTCTTTTCTGGCCCAGCTGGATCTGTGGACTCGAGGAGGCTGTTGATGTTGTTCGTCTCAGATGCTTGGACTTGAGGTCGGTTGAGCTTGTACTCAAGAGGCCGCCTGGCAAGCATCGATTATGAGCGAATTGATCGCGGTGACTTCGCAGAGGCATATGGAAACGGGCTAGCTGAGCTGTCATGATCGGATTTCCTCTTTCTGAGTTCCCGTGCAGCAGCAGCGCGCGTCTCCTCTCTCTGTCTCCTCAAAAATAGAGTTTAGTCCCGATTTTCTCTCCCAAGTCGAAGCTCTGTTGCGGCGTGCCTCCCCGTGCCTCCTCCCAAGCCAGAACGTGGGCAACCTGTCTGTTCCCGATTTAGCCTAGCGCCCGAACCCTGGAAATGGGGGCAGCCATGGGCGGGGCCTTTGCAGGGGGCCGGTTCGCGGGTGCCGTGGTGGCTCACGCACGGCACGAAGCTTGTCGATGCCGATTCTCCTCCACTCACTCGGCCGCCACCTCCAACAGGCGCACGTGACGTTTCGCTGTTCACTGTTACCGACTTGGTTATGAGAATCGCCAAGTCTTGGCAGAAAATCACTCAGGTATGGCCGCTTCGCGAGTTGTCTCAACGGCCCGGACACCAAACTCGTCCATGCATCCAAAGAGATCCATATTCCTAACTAGACCCAAACAAAAATGTGTCTCATTAACATCGTAGCAATGTCCCTCAGTCCCTCACACCTTGGTGATGAGGGTTTTCCAAAAAATCCCATGTCGCCAAACAAAACCGATACAAGTTACAGCATTCCACAGCGTCGTCGTCCAGCCCCCTTACACCTCGTTGCTGGGGTAAGTGACCTTCGTCGTCGCCGCAAACTCCTCCTTAATACTCCTCAAGCTGACGAAACGGCTGAGCAGGTTCGAGCTGCCCGCCTTGTCGTTGGTGCCACTGGCTCTGCCACCGCCGAACGGCTGCTGACCAACGACCGCGCCGGTGCTCTTGCAGTTGATGTAGAAGTTACCCGCAGAGTTGCGCAACTTGTCCTCGGCAAACCTGATGACCGATCGGTCCGAGGCAAAGATGGATCCTGTCAAGCCGTACTCCCCAGTTGAGTCAACGAGATCGCAGGCCTCCGAAAAGGCATTCTTGTTTGTGACGTCGTCATACACGTGCACTGTGAGTACAGGGCCGAAGAGCTCCGTGCTCAAAAGCTTGTGGTTCTTGTTGGTTGTCTCGTAAATGGTGGGATGGATGAAGAAGCCCTTCGACTTATCATACTTGCCTCCCGCTACAAGGGTTAGCTCCTTGTCGTTCTTGGCTTCGTCAATCACGCCAGACAGCTTGTTGAACGACGCCTCGTGGATGACAGGTCCCATGAAGTTTCCGTGTTCAGCGGGGTTGCCAATGGTAATTTTGTTGACCTCGTTCACGAGACCCTCCTTGAACTTGGGCCAAGCCGACTCGGGTACGTAAGCCCGCGACGTCGCACTGCACTTCTGACCCTGGAACTCGAAAGCACCACGGACCGTCTGCTTAACAGCGTTGTCGATATCGGCGGATGCGTGGATAAGGTGGAAGTTTTTGCCGCCCGTCTCGCCGACGATTCTTGGGTAAGATTGGTAGCGGCCTTCAGCCACACCAGACCCGATTTCACCGTACAGCTTGCGGAAGACGGCAGTGCTACCAGTGTAGTGAAGAGCAGCGAACTTCTTGTGCTTCAGCGCGACCTTAGTGACCTCCTCAGGATTACCAGGCACGAATTGAATGACGTCGCGCGGCAAGCCAGCCTCCAACAAGATGTTATAGACCAGCCAATTTGAGAGAATAGCCGAGTCGCTGGGCTTCCAGACAACGACGTTGCCGAGCAGAGCTGGGGCTCCAGGCAGGTTACCAGCAATTGCAGTGAAGTTGAATGGGCTCACAGCGTACACGAAGCCCTCAAGAGCCCTGTACTCAACCCTGTTCCAAACACCAGGAGAGTTGTGTGAGGGCTGCTGAGCGTACAGCTCCTCGGCATACTGGACGTTGAAGCGCAAGAAGTCTGCCAGCTCTGCAGCAGCGTCAATCTCGGCCTGCCACGCGTTCTTGCCTTGGCCCACCATTGTTGTAGCCATGATATCGTAGCGGTATTTGCCCGAGATCAGGTCGGCGGCCTTGAGAAAGATGGCAGCTCGGTCGGCGAACGGCAGGGATTCCCACGCCGGCTTGGCGTTGAGGGCAGACGCGATGGCTTGGGAAACATGTTCCGGTGTTGCCTGATGATACTTTGCGACGGTAGTAGCGTGGTCGGCGGGGTTGAACTGTTCTCCGACAATGCCTGTCTTGATCTTGGGGGCTAGTCAGCACATCGTCACTCATTCGTAAACGGGCAATCAAGACCGACCTCTTTTCCTGCGACGACAACGGGAACCTCCAACGGCAATTTTGTGTTCAGTTGATCAATGGCAGCAGTCAAGCCTGCGCGTTCAGCTGAGCCCTTGGCATAGTGGTGCTGTGTGATTGTCAGTCAACTACCCCTCACTACCCAGCTTCTTCTAAGCTTCTTTATTGGGAGCTGCAACCCACGTTTGGCTCGTTGTTCACTTTGGGAACTTTGAAGGCAGCGAACGTCGCCGCTCTAGTGGTCGTTCTCGTCGCAGAGATGGCCAGGCGCGTTGACTGTCCAATAAGGGATGCAGCGGAAGCTCTCCGTCCAATAGATGCAATGCGTGAAGCACTCCGCAGCTGGGAGTTCAACAGCCCAGAAGCTCGGGTGGAAGACATGGTGGACAGCTATGCAAAATAACGCCGTCTAAAAAGATCAAGTGGCCAAGAGCTGGGCCTCTTCGGACGCGCACAAATCAATTGATAAGTCTGGCAAAGACCGTCTGTCGGCGATTTGGAGAGAGCAGGAAGGAGGAGGGGGAGGTAGCTTGGAGGTGAGGGAAAGCGGAAACCAGTTGGTTATTAAGCTTCGGCACGTCGGAGGCGCAACGTAATGAAAAGTCGTGAGTCGTGAGACATGCACCGTCGTTCCTAGATGCCGGCAACCATCAGGGCGCAACACACGGGTTGATGCGGGTTAAGAATGCGCGGGCAACGAGAAAGCTCATGAGGGGCTGCGGGGCTTGGCTCAGTTCAGAGGGACCTGGAATGTCATCCCGAATGCAATGACGTGGGGTCTTGCTGCGATCCCCTGCCGATGACAGTGGGTTTAGATGCTTATCACGGTTTGCGGGGTAGTTGCCCGCCAATCAGATACTCCAATTGTGCTGCAATCTGAAGCTCCGGCCAAGATAAGAGGTTGACTAGGCGATAAGGGAAGGTCTTTTGGGGAGCTTCCGATCCCGACACTGTAAAAGTCGGAACAACCCTCCGACCCGACGTCGGGACAGGCCTGGGTTTTCGAGAAATTAGGTTCAAGGGATGATATGATTGTTAGAAAAAAAAAAAAAAACCTCAGTAGGTATCTTATTTTCAGTCCTTACATTATATTAATTTTTGGCGCAACAGAAAA